CTTTGAAATTTGTAAATCTTTTGGCTTCAGTATCTGACTCCATGTTCCCCTCCTTCCTTCTTTTCTGCACCTCTCCTTGTTTCTCATTTTTTCGGTGTTCTGATCTGTAGCTTTCTCTTCTTCCTTGCTATCTGGGTGCCAGCAGGGGGAGCCTTGAGAGCATAGGAGAAAATTCTACCCCTATACTTGGTTCCAGTGCCTAGTCACTCGCCTGTCCCTTGCTGCCAAGAGCTGCTGATCCCCTGTATCCCAAGTGTGGATTGGGTCTTCACAGAATTTCTCTGCCAAACTTTACCAGCCCTCTTCAGACCATGCACAAACTGTAGCTATATTTGGAGGCTTGTAACTTGGGCAGATTTCCACAGGGTTGCAAAAGACTACGGCGACTTTATCCCTGGTCCCTGCTTCCCCAAAACAAATTTCAAGCCCCAGCTCCAAAGCATGGAAGGGCATGAATTTTGCAACATAACATTGTGAAGAATCATCTTCTGTACTGGGTGGGAGGTGAAATGGGCAAAACAAAATATTTCTCCCTAACCTCATCTCTGAAATGGCTGGACCATTTTTAGCTGGAAGTTTCCAAACAAACACACAGAAAACCCCCTCTGAGCCTGAGGCAGACACCCAGTGTGAAATGTGTTTAAGTTTAGCTTGCCTGCGTGTGTGTGAAGCAAAGAAAACCAATATTATAGTGGGTAAATATTGGGCAGTCTCTACCAGAGGTGGGAGTTGGTGGTGACGTCTTCCACTTCCAAATGGTGGGGAAAATCTTTTTCAAACCCTACCTTAACACTGATTCATAAACTCCTTTTGAACTTTTGATAATTTTAGCCCAAAAGGCAGGTAAGTATCTGAAAAAATCTTAAGTTATTTAGAAGTCATAGCATTTAAGGCCAGAAGGGACGGTGTAGGTCACTTATTCTGGTCTGTGAGACAGAGACGTTCCAGTTAATTTCATGGCCTGTTCTTGTTGCAACAGTACCATCCTTTCCTTCCATAACCGCCTCAACCATGATTAATCTACGTAGTTTTGAATGGGATTCTGAGCTGGGTGTGTGGAGAGGGTGTTGTTGTGATATCTTGTTTGTGGCGCTGACTAGGAATGATGGAGTGGGGAGTCTGTAGCATCAGGGCAGCACTGTGGACAGGGGTGGGTGCCTGTGCGTAAATGAGCCTGCCTACATATGGGAATTACTGACCTAATTACTCGTTTCCGAAGTGGAACTGGCTAAATCAAAAAAAGCAGTCTTTATTCCACAATAAGAATATTCATATGAGGGTTTGCACTGGACTCATTATTCTGGGATATCTATTTTGATAAATTTATCAGCGCGGAGGAGGCTTTTTGGAAGCAAAAGCATTTGTTTCTTGTTCCTTGTATAAGCCTGACACCATGTGACTGCTGCCAAAACAGCTCTGGTCACGCCTCCTCATGTGTAACTCTCTCTCTTTCAGAACAAAGCCGCCGTGATGACCTGGAGAGCTTGGGCTATGTGCTCATGTATTTCAACTTGGGCTCGCTGCCCTGGCAGGGCCTCAAGGCTGCCACCAAGCGCCAAAAATACGAGCGTATCAGTGAGAAGAAGATGTCCACACCCATTGAGGTGCTCTGCAAAGGATACCCTTGTAAGTGCTGTAAGCTGTGGGCGGATAGCTGGGCAATAAGGCAGTGAGGCAGTGTGATCTGCTGGAGCCCTGATGAATCTGACTTCTGATAGCTGTGGGGGGCATGGCGTATGTTGATGTATATCCTGTTGGAGAGCAACTGCAGTAAACTCTGCTTCATTCATCACTCCAAGGGGAATGCAGATCATGCTGAATTATCCAAAAGCGATCAGTTAATTAAGAGTTGATTGTTTTGGGTGGGGAAGGAGCAGGGAATTGGTACAATGGTGAATTAACCAGTGTTTACTGTAGTTGCACTAATGATGCCAATGAAGAGAGAGTGGGGATGAGGGAACATGAGCACCACAGTTGTGGTCTAGAAATGAGACTCCTCCCTGGAAATCTCTTAGGAACTAATTTTGGGTGATCAGTACATTAGGGGTGACCTAGTTTAGAGACAGACCATCATGGAAGAAGGTTTGGAGCTTGTGTTGCCATACATGGTGTTGAAAAGAGGCTGTGGCATCTAGTGGTAGGGTATAGTCGATGCTGCTCTGGACTACTTTGGCCCTGTTCTCCCCCCACAGGCCCGCCCTCCCTCCCACATCTCTGTTCTGCCTATTTTGTAGCGACAAAGTCTCTCCTTTCCCTTTATTCCTGGATATATCCTGGGGACTGTATGTGACCTACCCCTTGCTTGAAAAGCAGCCAAAGAGGTGAGGTGAGCAGGCATTTTCCCCTCAAATAAATTGGGTGGATTCCTCCATACCCAACACAAAGGCTCTCCAAGGAGAGAATGTAGCTTAATGCTGCCCTTCTGATCTAGCACTTTTTTGGGGGAGATGTCCTGGCCTTCCTGGCTTCCCCTAGAGATTCATTTCAGGAGTAAGTTATGGTGCCTTACTGAGGCAGAGTGGTGTTTAATGACCAACTGTTGCTCTGCCTCTTCCCAGCTGAGTTCTCGACGTACCTCAATTTCTGCCGCTCGCTGCGGTTCGACGACAAGCCTGACTACTCGTACCTGCGACAGCTTTTCCGCAACCTCTTCCACCGCCAGGGCTTCTCCTATGATTATGTCTTTGACTGGAACATGCTCAAATTTGTGAGTGAGACACTGTCATGTGGGGCACGCTACTTCAAGGTGGGCTGGGCTGGAGAGTTTGACTGTGTGAGTCTGACTGTTCATGAGCAAGAACATGGGCAGTGTAGGTAGGTGTAGAGCAAGCTGACGGTGTTAATTGGTGATTGTTGCTACTGTCTTATATCCTTTGGGGCAAGGGGGCTGTCTGCCCCATGTCTAACGCATTGTTTAGATTCCAGTAGCTTCTGCAACCACTGCATGCTTTCCTCTCTCCTATTTCTTCACACATGAAATTGAAGCCAGGTGAGAGAGAAGGTTGTGTAACACTCCTTTTTTAGGACCATACCTTAAACCTTACCTAGGGAAGGTGCAATTTCAAGGCGGGGTGGATGGAGACGGCTGCCTTGCACTCTTCTTGGCTGATGGCTGAGGGTGCCACGGACTGGGGGTGTCTGTTTCAGGGAGCGGCCCGGAATCCCGAAGACATGGATCGAGAGCGGCGAGAGCACGAGCGAGAGGAGCGGATGGGGCAGCTCCGGGGCTCTGCCACACGGGCACTGCCACCAGGGCCCCCAGCTGGAGCCACTGCCAACCGTCTTCGCAATGTCGCTGAGCCCATGGCTTCCACACCCACTTCCCGAATCCAACAGTCTGGTAAGTGTAGAGAGGGGGAAGATGGGGGAGGGCCAAAGTGCACGTGAGCCTGGAAATCAGAATCATTGAACACCTGTCTCTTGTATCTCTGTTCTCTGTCCCTTAAGTAGGAAACACGTCCCCCAGGGCAATCTCACGAGTGGACAGGGAACGGAAGGTCAGCATGAGGTTACACAGGGGAGCCCCAGCCAACGTCTCCTCCTCTGACCTCACAGGTCGGCAAGAGGTGTCACGGATTTCAGCATCACAGGTGAGTCCCTGCCCAGAGTCTTGTCCAGAACGGCATCAGACAGGCTGCACCCAGAGGACCATGGGAGCTGGTGGCTGTTGAGTTGGCTCCAGAAAGGGGATGTCTTATTCCTGCAAGAAGGTGCCTGTTGTAAAGCCTTCGGCCCCACTGTGTAGTTACTGACTTTCCAGGGGCTGATGCTGGATGAGCTCTTCTTAGCTTGGCTTTCAGAGTACTGCCAGAGCAAGCTGTCTTCTGGCTTTCTCCCTGACTAATGCTTAGAATGGCATGGGGCAGCATGTTCTTGGGAATTCAGGCTACAGTGACAGTGTCCACTAGAAGCATCAAGGTTGGGGAATGTACAGAGCACTCAAATGGGAGACCCAACCTTCTTCCTCCCCTGCCTACTCTCCCTTATTCTGTTCTAGACAAGTGTGCCATTTGATCACCTTGGGAAGTGAAGAAGGGATGCCACCGGACCAGTGTTTGCTTAGGTGAGTGTCCCCCCTGGTGCCCCTGGTCTCGCCAAGGAGAAAAGGTCTGGCGCCAACTATCAGCTTCAAGCCTGGGTGCTGCTGTAGTGGGTCAGTGTGTTTCCCTTACCTCACTTATCCCAGTGAAATGTCTTTTGGTCATGTTGAGGGACAAGCAAGATGCACATCCTTCATTGGCAATCCCTGTGGGAGGGGGAAGGGCACATGGCACCATGTCTGGAAAGACGGATCATTGTGGCTGTCTGCAGCTGTGTCATGTTAGTGGGAGGGGAGGTGTTGACATTCATTCATTCCATTGCTGCCTAGTGGAGGAAGGCTGTAGAAACCACTCTTATTCCTAGAGTGGGCATCCATTTTATTGTTTCCTAATTAGTGTGGTCTTAATAGTATGATGGTGCTTAGGGGAGGTTTGGGTGTTTGACCTGTGTGTCCCTCTCTTGGAGAGAGATGATTCTGTGGGGTGGTGGTGGAACTACTGGAAGGGAGTAATTTGGATTAACAAGCTTAAATTGTCATTGGAACTGGTGAGGAGATCTGCCTTTCCTCTAATTCTCTCTTCCCTTTCCATCCTTCTCTTGCAGTGTCTTCACTGTATTTTTCTTTTAAACAAACAAAAAAAAACCCAACAACAACAAACCCAAAACAACAGCAACAAAAAAACCCTTAAAATAAAAAGACAAAAAACAACAACAAAAACAGACTTTTTTTTTTGCCAACATCAAGGAGACAAGCTGCCCCCATAGCGGTGTGAAACCATTCTGAGATTGCCGCCTATGTTCCCTGACATCAGCGCCTCCAAGAACCCAACAGCGCGGGAGTCTTACAGAAACACCTCTGCTGCCTTCGTGCAGCTCCCCTCCCTTCTCCCCC